GAAGCGCGGCGGGATGCGCCTCGTGGAGGTCCAGCACGCGCCGACTGCGTTAAAAGCGCTAACGTGCGCTTTACACGTGCCTTTAGTTCGCTCTCGTGCCTTTAGTTCGCCCTCGTGTCCCTTCGCAGAATCACGGAGTGGGTGAGGTTGGAAGGGGCCTCTAGAGACCACCTAGTCCAACCGCCTGCTCCAACAGGGACACCTAGAGCAGCCCGCTCAGCCCACAGATTTCCCCCATGGCCCATTTTTGCGCTGAATGTCTTCGTTTATGCTGTATTATCATCAGCATGGACAGTGATTATCCACGCTCTTCAGCATTGCTAAGATCCGTGCTCTGAAAACTTATGGAACAGCAGGAGCGTTTCCTGCATGCACAAGGCGTTTCATTACAGCGTATCACTGTTTGTGCTTTCGTGTCCGTTTTCTTTTCAAGCCACGAAGCTTATATAATGTAAACAGAGATTTTGACACAATCCAGTCGGACTAGTGTAGTATCATGACTGAGCCCAGCAAAACACACAAGCTGAGATCTACAAAGTTAAATATAAACAAACTGGGATCTAGAGATTGTGGCTCTTTCAAGCTGGAAGTGTTTATGTGATCGCGAGCACACGCTTTTTCCTCACAGCCGGTTGTTTCACCCTGCCCTGGAATGCAGCACCCTTCCCACAGCTTGTTGGTGATTTTTCTATCACAAGTCAAAATCAGATGGAGATGGTAAAAAGTCCAAGTCAGCTGGGAAGCATCTATTAGATGAACTATTTGTCACTGCTGTGACAAGTACCAGTTGACGATCCTGCAGTCCATTCTGCAAGAGTCTGGGTCTCTCTTCAGCTTTATTACTCTTTATTACTATTTATGTATCAGGGTTCAGAGGTTTACACAGATGCAGACAGACAAAGGCCATGCCAAAAAGTTTATGAGCATGAATGCAAAGAACAGAAGAAACGTCCTGTGAAAAGGAAAGTGCATCAGACTGTGTCCTGTTTGCACATATCACAATGCCCCTCTGACTTCCTTTGGCTCCAGGATGACCTGTTTGTTTTGCTTTTTGTTTTGTTTTTCTAGGAGGAGTGGGCTGAAGGCATCAGTGACATGTTCAGAGGTGGAGCTGAGAACTGAGCTGAGGGGTGTGGGAAAAGAGGGAGAAGGGCTTCACATCAGCAAGTCATTGCACTGTTGTCTCACAGGGACCAGCTTATATAATACATAAGGCACAGTTTTCCATAAATCGGGAACAACCCACCACCTTCTGCAGCGCACGGTGTGCGCCGGAGTGGAGCGGCGGGAGCGAAGGTCGGAGGGGGTGACACAGTAACCACCAGCCGCTAGCCCTGCATGGGACACTGCAGCTCGGCTTCACTGCCCTCTACACATACACCCTGCGGCTGCGCTGTATATATGTGATATATTACTGCCTTTGACCTGCTCCCTGCCCCACTGTGAGAGATCCCCCGCTCCGTTGTCTGGGTGGCTCAGGGTAGCCTCTGGGCCCCCAGCATTGCTAGGATGGCCAAGTATTCGGAGCTGAATTCGGTCTCAGGGTCAGGCTAGGTTTCAGGCACTGTGGATGATGAACAGTCTGAGCACATGGGTATTAAAACTCCCATTTGGGAGGAGGAGAAAGGGGATTAACCCATTCTACGTAGGAAAACATCTGCTGTCTGCATCGTCCTGCTGCGCGGGAGGGCAGGCCGGCGGCGTGGGGAGCAGGGAGGCCCCGCCGGGCTCCTTCCATACTGACGGGCTAGGACTCTATGAGGATATTAAAAAAAAATGATACAAAAAGGGGGGGGGGCTTGATGAGCATTCTTCTTTAAGCTTCTGCTTCCTTCCCTGCAAATATGTAGTCTATGAATTAGCACTAGAAGAAAGTATGAACAGTGAGATCCTCACATAAAGCCAGCACTCCAAACATTATGTTACTTGTCATAAAATCTGTAAATGCATGTGGGAAATTGCCTGTGAAAATACTATATACCTACTAAGGAGTAGCTGATTATATATAGTGAGGAGTAAAGAACTTCTCTTAAACAGAAAGTGATTTACGATTTTATTATTAAAGTTCACTTGCCTTTTGATGTTTAAGGACAATTCTATAACTGAAAAAGCAGGTTGCATTTAATTAAGTCCCTTGGCTCAGACTTGTTACTCAGGGCAACACTGTAAACACTTGGCAAAGACTCTGAACTGTAATAACAGGTTTATTAAAAAAAGATTTTGGTCATATATGAGAAGGCAGGGAGTCTAATAGGATGTTCCTGTCCACTGCTCTGTATCACCTTTACCTTTTCTTCTTTTAGTGTAAAGCATAATAAGGATGGTTAAAAGCTTTTGGTGTACCATCTTTATATGTTTTCTTTATATATCTTGCCCATGAATGAGTTTAAAAGTTGAATTCTCAGTCTGAGAAGGAAATACATCCTCAGCCTCATCCTAGTGTGTCCCTTGTACTTTTCCTGTCACTTTCATGAGCTTTCACTCCCTACCATAGTGCTCAGGACTGGCCTTCCCGTGGGTGCATCCAAGTCCCTGAGATGGTGGCACCACTCGGGTGAGCTCCTCAGACACCTCTTCCGAGGAAAACTGTGATCCCAAGAGGGATGGAGGATGTGTGGTTCCTCGCTCTCCAACACACCTGACCCCAGGTGCTACAGGGGCTATAGTGAATACAGGGATCTCAGTCAGTTTTTGGTATCTGTTTAGTTTTGGTGAAGTCCTCTTGGGTAAAGCCTGGGGAACAGAGGATTTCTTACCCTCTAGCTGAATGAGGAAAAAGGAGGAAAGCTG